GATGATGCAGGTGGTATAGGCGGGGATCCGCTCCACCACGACGAGGCCATGGAACCTTTAGTGCAAGATGCTGCAGTGATGCAAGGGGACAGTGCAGAGCCAGAGTTGATTGAGCAGCGTGTTTTGCCTGATGTCGAAGAGGGAGAGCCACGAGAGCGACCCAGTGATACAGTTACAGTGCAAGATGTGGTGTTGAGCGCGCAGAGCAGCATACAAGCATTGAAGGCCGCGTGCGAGCACTTACAACTTAAAACTTCGGGGTCCAAGACTCGGCTTTTCCTTCGCATACAAGGCTACCTCGAGAAACAGCAAATTGCACTGCAACAAGACATGGCTTCAGATGCTCGAAGTGGAGAGGAGCGACGCCCGCAAGCACAACCGTTACCGCGACCACCGTCGGAAGCCGAACGACTCATTCATGAAATTACACATCTTCCTTACGCCAGCTGGTGCCCGCATTGCATAAGCATGCGAGCGATGCCAGATCGGAGTGAAGCAGCCCAGCAGCCACCACGTGATGTTCCAACGGTGTCCTTCGATTTTTTCTACACAGGATATGACGCAGAAGCCCACACAATGCAAAGCCACGGTAAGCCTGGTGATGGAGAGAACAGCGATGATCTTTTGTGTTGTCTTGTTGCACACGACAGCTCCACTGGGTCTGTTGTGGCCATACCGTGCCAGTCCAAAGGAACAACTCGATTTCTAGGTGTGGAACTTATGCGGTTCATACATGGGCTGGGTCACACCACAGTCGAGCTTCGGTGCGACAATGAACCGAGCACAATATCATTGCAAACCGCGGTGGCTGGGGCTCGGAAAAGATTGGGACTAAGAACGATTATTCGAAATCCCCCGGTGGGGGCTCACGCTTCCAACGGTGCAGTGGAGAAAAGTGTGGATGTTATTCGGTCGCTGGCAAATACAATGATGAGCATGGTGCGCGAGCGTGTGGGCATTGACTTTGGGGCGGACCACGCCCTGTTTGCATGGTCGTTTGTGCACGCGAGCTGGACAAGAAACAGATTTGCAGCTGTGGGCGGATTGACGGCTTACGAGCGGGCGACGAACGCGCGTTACACAGGGAGGCTGGTTTGCTTTGGGGAACCGGTCTTTGGGCAAATCTCTGTGAAGAAGAAAGGAAATGCGCGTTGGGTTCGGTGTGTGTTCTTATCCAAAACAATCAGCAATGACATGTTCATCGTCGCCACCCGTGCTGGAGTCAGGTTGTGTCGATCAGTGCGTAGAACAAGTTCCGAGTGGGCTGTTGACAGAGCATTGTATCAGGGCTTGGCTGGTTTCCCGTGGGACTACTCATCAGGAGCTGTGGGTACAAGGTTGGTGCCACCAGCCAGGACAAGGAGGCCGCAGATCGCGGCAACTGCCGGAGACGAGGCGGCGTCAGACCCGCCAACTCCTGTGCCGTCAGGTGATGGCTTAGCTTCGCCGCCACCGGCGGCCGAGGGTGATGTTCCTACTTTGGGTGTGGGGCCCTCGATTGAGGGTGATGCTTTGCCGTTGCCAGTTGCAGCGGCAACCGGGCCACCGCCCGGGACAGCTGTGGCAGAGATTCCTGTGCAGCCTGTGGAGATGGGGCCGAATCCAGCCCTTGGTGCGCCAGATGTTGAGATGCTTCGCACCCCCGAGGCAATGTTGCCACCACTGGGTGATACGGCCCAGGGTTCGGCGGGGAGCCGCGATGTGCCTGCTGAGGCAGGTGGTGACAGGAAGCGTATTCGTCTCAGAGCGGTGCAGTTTGGCAGCCACAACCTTGATTATCATGATGATGATGTAGCTTTGGATTTTCCTGAGTTAGAGCGTGGTGAGCTTTGTGAACAGATTGAAGCAGACATTGACAATGAACGCCCGGCGGCAGGAGAGTACGCTGGTGACGGCAGTGAGGGCACCACGGCCTTGAACGTACAGGGCCCTCCTAGTGAGCTTGAGCAGCTGCAAGCGCAGCTGTGGTTTGAAGACCACGGTGGACCTCCCGAGTTGAGCGAGGAACAACTCGCAGCACTAGATCGTATAGCGGATGAGGTTGAGATTCAAAGATTGTCCAAGAAGGCGGTGATTAGGCCAGTTGAGATCGATGAGGAGGTTCACCATATGAAACGGTT